AATTCTGCGTTTCGGATCGTCCACGCTTTGAGCCCGGCGTGTTCATGTTTTTCCAAATACTCTTTGTAGCTGGAGTCTTCTCCGGGGTTGCATAATATAATACTTGGAATCCCGCCCGTTATTTTCTTTGGGCGGGCATATTTACAATTTGAAAAAAAGTCCCGTTGCGCTCCAATAAACTCGCGCCAATGTTTTAAATATTGTGGGGCCACATCATCAATTATGTTGTAGAAAGCATCGTTCTTGTGGTCCCTCAGGTCGATGTGGCCTGAATAATAATTATGTGGTCCCAAAGACCGGGCCCAACATGTTTTCCCAATTCTAGATGGGCCTTCAATTATAATGCTTTTGGGCCTATGCGGTCTTTGGGCTTCGTCTGTTATATTGTCTGCAACCCATTGCTGTATTGCTGCTGGAACGACCCATACTGTGTCTGTAAATGGATGAACATACGGCAATGGTGGATTAAATGAAATCCGGTCATAAATGGAACGACCCATACTGTGTCCGTAATGTGTTGACCGTGATATGGGTCAACATAAACAGTTAATATTTGTTAAAAACAGATACTGTATAACGTATGGCACAGACGAACAGCAAAACACAAACGATACAAACAAAATAATTCGTGGGCCATACGTAAGTTAACTGTTTACAACTTCAGCTTGCGCGTCCCTTTAATTTAAATTTCCCTCGTTTGTGGTTTGCTGTTCGTCTGTGCCATACGTTATACAGTATCCGTTTTTAACAAATATTAACTATTTATGTTGACCCATATCACGGTCAACACATTACGTCTATAAAATAACATCGACGTGAAGTTTTATTAGTCAGTTTCCTGAACGTCGATTATGGCGACTACTTTTCGATTTTCACAACGGCGTCCATATACTGCGCGAACTAAATTAAATTTTAGTCGCCGTTGGACAACATCCAGCAGATCTAGTGTTTCCGGACGAAGTTATTTTAAATTTCGGAAACATGGTTTGTACAAAAAAAAACGATTCACGTCTAAATCGTTGTGTGATTCCATCTGGAGGATTGACGATTTTCTCCCGTATGATGAGCCTCATTTTTTCCATTTTGATTTGCCGGAAGTGGGTACTGAAAGGGATGAACGACAATCCCGAAAATTAAAGTTGTTAGGACTCTATATCCAGGGTGTAGTTTTACGTCAGACTGGTGGTCTGTCCGAACTTGCTGCTGATACGCCTGGACTGGAAAGCGTGATGCCCCTACCCAGGCTGTGGAACAAACGGCGGACATTGATCCATCTGGTATACTTGACAATGGCCAATGTGAATTTGTCGTTGTGTTGGACCGGTTTCCTAATCCTGCGTATACGCCCAAGTTTGAAGATGTTTTCCTGTGGTCCAGTGGTGACCCACGAACTGGCTGTATGGTTAGGGGCACTGAAATTGATCGTTTTGTTGTATTGCGGCGTGTTCCCGTTGTAATGCCGCCGCAATCAAATGAATATCCAATTGTTAGCCGTCAAGGCGTTAAAACATATATCAAGCTCGGAAATAATGTTGTATCCGAATTCCGAGATAGTTTAGGTCAATTTAGCGGCGCGTACAATAATATTGTAAAAAACGCAATTATTTGTTATTTTGTGTGGGAATGTCGCACAAAATCGATTGTAAGAGCGCATTTGAATTGTCGATTGAAATATTGTTATTAATAAAATAATTTATTACAAATATTTTATAATTGTCTCCGTTGTACATTTGTTTTCTGGGATGATGTGGATCCTTCCACAGCGGCTTTTACAGCTTCTCCTATTAATTTGGACACCTCGTCTGTAGTGAGTCTTGATGATTCTGAGTTATTGGATCTGGCCTCGCTTACGTGTCGTCCCCCGATTGGTGCTCCCTTCCGCATTTTGAGGCATGTTGTCGGCTAGTGTCTCCGCTCCGCGCCCAGATCTACGGCCAGGATTAAAAATCGAAAAAGGCAAGCGCCGCTCCTAGATCCGCTCTTAGATCTGCGGCCAGGATTAAAAATCTAAAAAGGCAAGCGCAGGCGGGAAATTATATAAGCCAAAATAATTGGGGGAGTTTGAATTATTTTGCAAATGGATATCGGAGATCTAGGCCAATTTCGGCGTTTGATTTTAAAATACGAGCCGGATCTATTGTTGCTGCACTGGTCCTTGCTGGTCGTCGGCGAAAACAACGCCGAAAGTTTAATCCGGCTCATCAACGCCTTACAGCGGCAAGAAGATGCTCTATTCGCCGGTATGAAAGCGGTTTCCGAATTAGAAACCCAAGCGACGTCAGACATATATTCCGTCGCTGATGTCTGCCACATCACCGCGCCTTCACAAAATCAGCCCGTGCGTTCTGGTTCTGGATGTGTAGATAATAAAAAATAATTGTAAATTATTATTCTGTAACTGTTTTATGCGTAATAAAATTTGGGCCTTATCTTTAGTGTCCACTTCTTTCATAGTCTGCATGGGCCGCTTACTGATGGGCCTATGTGTATTGGGCCGCGTTGCTTACTGATGGGCCTATCTTTAGTGGGCTGATGTACCATATGTCTGGGCCTATTTTAAAATAACTAATAAACATTAAATGGGCCTCATTGTTGTAATTGGGCCGTCAGTTTGTTTACCAATTATAATCCTGTCGGAGACTAAAGATGAAACAGTGGAATACCTGCTCCCAGATGAAGACATTCTGCATGTAGAAGAGGAAACGTGGACGACGTACTTTGATAAGGGGCTAACCAGTATGGTTATGGGATAGGTGTGTTGCTCATAACACCTGATGATTCCTATATACCCTTAGCGTTCAAACTCCGGTTCAGAGTGTCCAACAATGAAGCAGAATATAAGGTGTGCATTGCTGGTTTGGAAGTTGCCCTAGAACTAGGGGCAAAGAGGTTGGACGTCATCGAAGATTCGAATTTGGTTATCTCTCAAGCTAATGGGGATTGAAAGGTCAAAGAAGAGAACGTGAAGATGTATCATCAGGCCTTAGATATTCTGATTCCTAGGATTGAAAAACTGACATTTACACATTTGTTGAGAGAGAGCAACCGGTTCGCTGATGCATTAGCAACTCTATCTTCTACGATAAACATCCCGATGGGAGTAAAGATGCGTCCAACCATTATTGAGCAGAAGTATACGCCTGTTTACCAGATCGTCGTCTCAATAGATGAAGCGCAACACAAAAACCCCTCGTATTGTGATATTTGGAACTTTCTAGAAAAAGAGGCGTATCCACTAAGGGCAAATGCCAAAGACAAATGGGGAATACGATGTCTGGCCTTCCAATTTATCATCTGTAGGGGTGAATTATACAAAAGTGGCCATCTAGGAATGCATAGGCTATGTGTTGAAAAAGAAGAAGCGAAACGTCTTATGGAGGCCATTCACGGGGAAGAGTGCGGAGCCCATATGAACGGTGTGATGTTGGTCCATAAAATCCTTAGACAAGGCTACTACTGGTCAACCATGGAAGAGGATTGCATTGGTTTTGTTTGGTGATGGCAAAATTGCCACATTCATGCCAATCGCATGAACATACCACCGTCTAAACTCTACAATATGACTTCACTATGGACTTTCTTAATCTGGGGAATCGACGTTATTGGTGCAATCACACCAAAGGGATCAAATGGGCATGAGTTCATTCTGGTAGCAATCGACTACTTTACTAAATTGGTGGAGGCCCAATCCTATTCTATGTTAAAAGCATCACATGTGGCTAAGTTCATCAAGAACAACATCATCTGCCGATATGGGGTTCCGAACATGATCATATCCGATAATGGCTCTGACTTCAAGAAAAAGGTGCTTGATTTGCTTAAGAAATATAACGTGGATTTCCACAAGTCATCAACATATAGACCGCAAACCAATGGAGTTGTTGAGGCTGCGAACAAAAATATCAAGAGCATCCTGCAGAAGATGGTGGAAACCTACAAGGACTGGCCGGATAAATTGGCATTCGCACTCTGGGGCTACAGAACCTCAATTTGAACATCTACAGGGGCAACTGCTTATTCTCTCATCTATGGGATGGAGGCTGTTTTACCAATTGAGATTGAAGTATCGTCGTTGCGAGTTATGGTCGAGTGTTAGATAGCGGAGGCGGACTGGCAACGAAGTAGATTTAAGGAGTTAATGTTGTTTGATGAGAAAAGACTGAGGGTATTGTATCATGTCCAGGGTTACCAACGCCAAATTGTTAGGGCTTTTAACAAGAAAGGTAAGTCCAGGAATCTCAAGGAGGGAGACATGGTACTAAAAGACAACCGGGCTCCCATCCATGACCCTAGGAGCAAGTTCAGACCCAATTGAACTGGTCCTTATATCATCAAGTCAATCTGGTCAGGAGGAGCAATTATTCTCATGGACCTAGATGGTCTGGAGATTTCACAACCGATCAATATGGACAAGTTGAAGAAATATTACCCTTGAGAGGCTTGCTAGGCTGAAAACCTGGAAGGGAGACATAGGCAAAAGTTAGAGCATGAAAAATTAGAAACAAAGAAAAACTGAGCTCGCAAGATTGAAAACCTTAAAGGGCGACTTTGGCAAAAGTTAGAGCACAAAAGGAGAGAGTTAATACTCGAGTGAACCTGAAGCGAACTATGTAAGGCCTGATTCCCCTCTTTGGGATACGTAGGCAACTTCATCCTGAAGTTCGGCCGTAACCACTATAACAAAAAGGGTTTTTACGGCGCGCAATGCACGCCGTAAAAACCCTTCTACGACGTGCAGCGCGCGTCATATTATGACCAATCTTGGAAAGTCATTCACTTTCAACGATATGCTTCGTATGCCATTAAAAATTATTTAACGGCAGATTTTGTGCGTCGTTGCTACTTTTTCTATGACATACTATAGTACGCCGTTAAAAACTATTTATTGGTAGATTTTGTGCGTCGTTGTTACTTTTTCTACGACGAATTTTGCACGTCGTTAATTGGTGAGACAAATAACGACGTTGATTGCGCGCCGTAAAATATGTAATACAACTTATTATGCCTGTCGTAGAATATGCAGTTTTTTTTTTATTTAAATTCAACAGGTTCTATTTGACCAATCTTGTACAATCTAACAAATATTACAAACAAGCATCACAAAACATCAATTAACCACCAAAATATTGTTTGAAACATCAAAAAGAAACTATATCCATAAATTATAAACATTCAACAATTTTCTATACAATCTAAACATTCGAAAACTATATCCTTAATTTCTAAACTGTACAAAAAGTTTAATCCATCGAAAACTATACATATCTAACTTTCTAAACATATCGACAACTATTAAGAGATTATATAAAACTACCAACAACAGTTCCTATAGCAATTGCAACTGCTCCTATCATAGGGACGAGGGTGCCCAATGTATGTGTTGAGGCACCTAAACCCGCGGCAGTAGCTAGAACAACTAACCCTGTTGCATTTCTTGTCTGCATGACAAAGGAAACTTCACATGAGACTCAAGAACAAAAATATTTCTTAAGGTATTAAGAAATGATCAAGAAATTTTGAAACATCAATAAAACATTTTCCAAAATTAATAAGATAATTCAATGGCCCCATAAAAGCAATGTCATAATGAAAAATTAACAAAAGTTCAAAATCTCAATAGTCTCAACGTATATGCAAATAAAATCCACATAAAGCAAAACTTTTTTTTTCATACCTCAAAATAGTAATGCCTTACTTTATTCATTCATGATAGGTCTTGTCTTAAAAAGGGATACATGAAAGATGACTACATCCATTTGTTTGTAAAAAGGCCTGTGAGAAGTGCTCTGATAATCAATCGTGGTATAGTTAAATTGCTACTAGAGATTTGAACTGACATACCAAGATTTGTAATCAGATAACTAATAGTTTAATTTTTTACATTTATAGTTGTAGAATATTTTTTTCATGGTTCATTTGTTTTTTTTGGTAGTACGTACTAAACTACTAAAAATAGGTTGTATTCATGTGCATATTGATAAAAGGCATTAAGCCACTTGGTTTTAATTGTGATACAATTATTATCTAGCCTCAAGGTAAATTACACACCCCTCTTCTCTTCTCCAATCCTTCTTACTCTTCTTAATCTACCTCCTAGCATGTCCTGTGTATGTATGAAATGTTGGTATGCTTGGAAATAGGGTGTAAGTTTAGGTGTTAGTATATATAAGTGATGCTACCTTGTATTTTTTGCTGATTTCATGACTGCTGCAACTTTATCACTCTTGGAAAAATATCAAACTTACTTCTTTTCAAAACTAAATGTAGGGGATGATATTTGAGGTGTTTAGAGCATGTGACATTTTTGGTAGCCCCTAATTAGATTTTTTATAGTCTAAACAATTTTCTTGAACAATCTAGCCCTGTGTTTCGAGAAAACAACCCACTTTAAGTATTTAAAAAAAATCTAGAAAAATCATCTTAGGTTGGTTCTTATGTCAAAAGTTAGCATTTTTAGTCCTCTGTCTAACAAAATTTATTTGAGCAAAAGTTATTGGGTAGATTGAAAGAAATGCTTATTTTTCTAAAAGTGTGTCAAATCTGGACAGAATATGGCAACAAGAATTTACATCAGTCACAACTCGTATTCGTTCCTGAGGCTTTTGCCTCGACTTTTCAACTAAAGATGCTCTCTGTATTGAAGATAAAACCTATGCATAACGTTGAAGAGATACAAGGGTACAAAGCTGGAATACTAAGACAAAAACAAAGGGAGTAGCAGAAGAGAGTTAAAGAAAAAATGAGGGCCAGGGGTTGGGGATTGAGAAACACAATCAAGAAAAAATAATTTTGCATACCTCTAGCGGATGATAGTTAGGCCGTTTTGGTTTTCCAACATCAAGGCATGGCATGAATGTGGAATAAGTAAGTTCAATGTTATGGTGTTTGGTAAAATAATCATACACAGTAATCTGTAAAGCTTCCCCTCCATCATATCCACCATCAGCATTCCTCACTTTCAAAGAAAAACTTGGAGAAACAACAAAACAAAACAGAATGTATCAAAATAAGAAGTTCCATGCAATTAAACAAGCAAAGCACTTACAATTGTTGATTGCAAAGCTTTTCACTCAAGCCTATGATCTTAAATTCCATGTGTTGTGTCTTGTCTTAACCCTCATATTTTTTACTATTTTTTTAGCCTGAACATGTCCGAACAATTACAATTTCAATTGAAAAATAATAAAACAAACAAATTAGCCTTTTTAACATCTCATACTAACAATTATGCCAATTTTTGGCAGAAAATAGTAACAAAAAGATTGACTCATGCATGAAGGGAAAAAGCAAAGAATGGGATATCAACCAATATTCTGTACAAAATTTATGCCCCCTGAGAGTCAAACTCTTACAAGCATTGTTGTTAAATTAAATGTACTATGACAAAAATTAATACCGAACTGAAATATGCACAAAATAAGGACAAGAGAGTGGAGCTCTTGTGCCAACACAGTTTTTTTTGAGTTAGGCATTTTTTTCAAACAGTTAGAGGACCCTTAATATCAGATAACATTTACAGACTACCATCTATTACATATGTATAGATATACATAGCATGTATATATTGATGAGAAATAAATATATAGGAGAGGCTGAAATGTCCAATTGAAATTAAACTAATTTGAATCAAATTGAATATTTAAAGGACAAAATTAAAATTAGAGGCTGAAAGTGGCATGCACTTATTCTGGGAAGCATAAATGTATTTTATCTGGAAAACAAATTAACAACTTTTAGGTTCAAGATACTTACATAGTCCAGTAGGAGATTTCCATGCTTTTCTTCCATGTTCCTTACTTGCAACAACAGATAAGAGCAATAATCCAAATCCAAAAACAATTTGGAAATAGTAACAACAAAAAAGTGCTAGAAACAATTGCATGTTCTATAATTGCTATTAGATGATGCACTAACCTACTTCCTGTAAGTCTTTGTCCGAGTTTTCAACACATGGTACTGTTACAAAATTCATAAAGCTTTGGATAGTTAGCTAAATTGATGCAAAAAAAAAATCCTATGTATTCATTCTAGACACAAGAGAATAGAGATTATGAGGGAGTAGGAGAAAGCATTGAAGTAGCAAAAAATGGGAAACTCACACAAGGAGAATAGGAAGATTGAAATGATGTTATCTATATAAAAAAATGCAAAAGAATAATTTAAAAAGAAGGGCAAAAAAGCCCAAAAAGGCTGTTCACACCAACTGTATAGACAAAACAAATAATCATTAGTGAGCCTCTCGGGTGGCCTAGTGTCAAGCCCTTATGCCCAGCTCATTGGAGTTGGGGGTACAATCCCTAGCTCTACCAATTAGTGAAGTTGTATCATGCAATATAATTTACTTATAGCCTTCAAAAAAGGTCTCCAATGAAATTTTGATGAAATTGCAACAAATCAACGAAAAAGATATGAAAACGAGATAAAATGGGGAAAAAAAATAATTTGTGACTTGAATCGGAAACCAATATCTTTGATCACAAATAAAGGGTTCTAGATCTTTGAGAAAAGTAAAAAAATGTATGTTCCTGGGAGTTAAGTTCAAACACACTCATCATCATGTGCCAATTGGATCTATAGAATGATGTGGATGTGCAAAAAGAAAAAGTAACACTTTTTCCATGACTTCAGTCAATGAGCAATCAATTGCGGCATTTACTATTACCGACTTAATGCAATTGGATGCATATGCATTTTTTTGACTATGTTAACCATGCAACACTATGTACCATAATTCATAGCAGACCTTATAAAAGTCCTGTAAAACAAGCTAGATTTCAGACTTGGCTGCTAACCTTTGCCATAGAGACTAAAAAAAATGGGATCTATTTTGCACAAAAAGCTGTAAATGTAAAGGTGAAAAAAAGAAGCAATGATGAAGAAGAAAAATAATTGAAGGAAAGAGAAGAGCAACAAAATTCTACTTGTAAGCCATACAATACGATAGTTCTCAACCATCTAAGCCCGCAGCTCTTACCACATCACTTAAAACCTACATTTATGAAAGCTCATATTTCAGGGGGGGGAAAAGGTACCCCAAAAAAAAAAAAGGAATCTCTCTTTTTCTCATTTCTTTCTACTATTATTTGTCAAAATCCATTCATTCCAAACACACTAAATGATTCAATATAACAAGAAGAAAGTTATTGATTATGAGATTTAATCACTTTATCTAATCCTTCCTTCAAAAGCTTTGAGAATTCCTACACTCTCCTAGTTTATCAATTGATAGTAACCAAACCAAACCAAGCCTTAAGTCTTATCAAATGGGGTCGGCTTTATCAGTTGATAGTAACATTAGAAAATAATCAACTTGTGGTTGCATCTTAATGTCTAGTAGTATAGAAAGAATAAATATTAACAGCACTTGAAAAGCGACGTCAACCTCTTAAACTTGACACAATAGGAAAAATCTAATTGACAATTGAGGATTTTCTTGCTAGATTTTCACATGGAGAACAACTGCCAAGTACACAATATCTTCTTCATCAATATGTTCTTCTAAGGAGGTAGATTTGAAATAACATATTTTTTTTTTAGGCCCCTTTGTTCAACAATAGCTCCTGCCAGGAGCTAAACATAATATGGGAACGTATTAACCAAAAGTTGTATGGTTGGTTAGAAGCTTCTAAGAAGAAAAAGAAGAAATAAACTTGCTAGATTAGCCATACAATAGCCAGAAGGCCCAAAACAACCATACAGCAGCCAAAAGGATGCCTCATCAAGTTACCTTCGGTTCAGCCATAATCACACATCTTTATTGATCCTGAACATCTCACATGATCCTGGATCTGTGCAAGAATGAATTGGTCTCTACTTAATTATCATTGTACTGAAAATCAAAAAAAAAATGATTATAGAGCTTTTTTTTTCTTTTATTGTATTTTTAAACAAATATAAGTGTGAAAGGAAAAATGAGAATTCTGGTACTTGAGCTCAGTTTTTGAAGACCGTGTCAACAACTGTGTACTCCAGACCAAGAACAAAAGAATGTTCCTTTTTCTCTACACAGTCACAAAGGTTGGGGTTTGAAGATTCATATAAAGGTACTGTAGCTCGGCTTTTTTGCGCCTCTTTTCGGAAGCTCAAAAAGAAAGCCCTATAGTTTGGACTACCGTGGTTCTGAATCTAATCTCACAAGTGCAATGTGAAACTAATAAACACCAAAGAGTCCAAATCTGGCAAATCGTTTTGGAAAATTGATTTTGAATCAAAAAGTGCCAAAATTGGACTACTTTGCCAGATACAGAGTCGCCACCTAAATATTTTATTTTGAGAAAATTTAAGAAACCCATGACTCGTGCCAAAGGCCACGTGTTCATCATCACCAAAGTTGCCTTGGCTTGAGAACTTGGGTACGAGAGGGGAAGGTCATGAATTGAGCACCCCCATTCGCCCGATCAAAGATCGGCCTCTTCTAATCATGATATGATCTTTTATCAACATTATGCGCTTTTGCTCCGATTATTAGGCTAGCTCTACTATGTGATGCGCACAAGCAAGTATAGACTAGTTTGCTTAATTTGGAACAATTCAACTCATGTTTGTTTGCGAAAATGGCTTGAATTTGCCACCTCAAGTGGGCTTAAAGTTGCGGATTTGCCACCAAATATAGTGGGCTTAAAATTGATTTGCCACTCAACAAAGTGGGCTTAAAACACGCATTCATTGAATCGTTCCAATTCAAACAACAAGCCTTCATCCATAGGCATTCATGTAGTTTAGCATATAAGCATTTAGCCTCATGGCAAGCATGCTAATCATGGCAACATTCACACTCATGCAAGTATGCTAAAGCGTAAAAACTCACCTAGTACTCCAAGTTAGGAAAACATGAGTTAGTGAAATATGCATGATTCCTAACTATGTTAAGTGTCTAATGCAACACATGCAATATGCAATTAATAGGCTCGACTACTAATATGGCATATGAAGCAATTTGAACAACATGCAATTAAACACGTATTCAAAGATGGTATTGAAATAACAATACAGTTTGAATGATGCGCCGAGCCTCGGTGCATGCAAGACAAGATGAATGGATGCGAGCATAAGATATGCTAATTGAAACATGATGCTCCTAAACTAACCATCAAAAGCAGTTTAAGTAAAAGGGAGAAAGACATGGGGTTGGAAGACATACATGCACACACGCACATTTCTTACAACATTACGCCCTCATGAAGGAGGGTCCGAGTGAATAAGAGCTAACTAGCTAGTTGATTAAACTAACCTAATTAAGCTAATTAAACTAATTATTACAAGCCAAATGAATAACTAGCTAAGCTAATTACTAATTATTACAACACTTTAACTAACTAGGAAACTAATTAATTAATTTACAACACAAATGCACATAAACTAAGCATTTAAGACATTAAACTACGCTGCCGCTGCCGCTCCTTCGCCTCGGGAAGTAGAAGATGCACATCCTCAGTTTTGGCCCAAAAAGACCTTTGTTTGCTCTTGAAAGCCTCTGTTCGCAGGGTTGAGAATTTCCAAAATCTTTATGCTCCATCTTACCAAAATCAACTGAGGTTTACATCAGTGGCCTGCCAACCATGGATGGATACTGCTAGCCATCTGCCGACCATGGATGGTGCATTGTCGGCCACTGATGCATTGAATCACCATGCTGTAATAGAGTACAAATAAAGCAAAAAAAGAGTTTTTCTAAGGGTTGTCTGCACAATTCACCTCTCATTTTCATGGACAAATCTAAGGAATTGTGAACTTAAACCACAAACCACCATCAAAGCAATTTCATTGCATGATGGCTTGTGCTTCAAAGTGTGCAAGCTTAATAATGCAAAACAAAACATTCGAGAACCATCACCCTATCATGCATGATCAAGGGCAATGGAGACCTAGGAAAGTGGCACATTTCATCACTTTCAAGTATGAAATGTCCCATTTTCCTTGTGTTCAAACTAACTGTAGACACCCCATTTTTGACCGACCTTAAGACTCAGACATCATCGATTGAGCGCTCGGTGATAGTGCATGTTGTGCTCGTTTCGAGGATTCGGAGTTTCAGCTGAGAGCCTTGCCTTTGGGCCTCTGAACTCTTTGTGCTTTGACTCGGTTTGCAGACCAAGTCTGGTTTTCCTTGCCTGAGGGAGGGAGAGGTCTTGTAGACCACTTTTTGTGGTCGTAGGCCACTTTTCCCGTTTGGAGATTAATTTTCGATTTTCGTACCCTTCGGCCGCGTGCCTTGTCTCGGAACCGCTTAACGTTCTCCGTTTGGTGTGATTTTTGAACCACACCTTGTTTCCTTGGCCTAGAGGGCCACTGTGGTTAGGGAGACCAGTTTTGTTGTCGTAAACCACTTTTGGTGCTCGACAGCTAATTTTTGAGGCTCCCGGCTGTGCGCTTTGCCTCCCGAACTTTCGTCTCACATTCGTTTTGGTTTTTTTATTGGTACAAACCTTATTTTCCTTATTTGGAAGGTGGTACAAGGGTGGGAGACCAGTATTTCCCCTTGGAGACCACTTTTTCTCCTGCCAACCGATTTTCTGGTCTGACAATTGGTCTCCCTGGTCTTTGGACCATCAAAAGTGGTCGGCTACCACACCATTTGCTTGTTTTCATCCTCTGGACTCTCTCCCACCATGGCCGACCAGTTGTTGTCTTGGAGACCACTTCAAGTGGTCGGCCACTTTTTGTCACCTTTTTGGAGATATTTTCCTCCAGCTGTGCCAGCTGGAGGGCACTGAGACCATCCTCCATACATGCGTATGGAGGGATGGCCTTGAACCTTAGCTTCTTGGAGAAGCTTTTCTTTTCGTTCTCTATAAGAGAGAACCACCTCCTCCCTCCTCTAGGTTCAGAAAAATTGCCTTGAGAGTTATGGATACACCCTTGTATCTATCTTGCCCTTTACTTCATTTTTATGCCTCAAAAGTGTAGTTTTGTCTTACTTTAACACACAAACACACACTCAAACACCATCCCTTAGT